TGAAATGAAATTTAAAAACTTTTGATATTATGAGATAATCATTACGCAAATGTCCAAATGAATTCCTGTTACTCTTTTGCGGCGTAGGTATACTTATGAGTAGGCAAAAAATATTAAATAAAAAAATATATACCTACTACATATATGATGAAAAGACTGGTAGTCGCGCAAAGTTCAGATGAGGACGTACAGACAGGGGACAGCATTTTTGACTATTACACTCTTTAATTTAATTAAACGCCGTTTTGTGCACCGTTGAATTAAATTACAGTATAATAGCGTGTAACGCTGAAATGCACGAATCTTCTTTAATTTTATCGTGATCTCAGTTCTGTGCGACCAGAAATTCTAAAAACTCCACATTATTATAAAGCATTTCTAAATATATGGTTATAATTATTACGAATAAAATTTAAAAGTTATTCACATTATATATAAAGGCAGAAAGAGAGGGAGAGAGTGAGGAAAGAGAAAGAAAAAGAGATCATCCATTTAATTACGGAATAACTTATGAGCCATTACAATTCCAAAGTTACAAGATATAAAATATAAATGTCTTTTCAAAGACGTCCTGCAATGTAATTAATCAAAGAAATTGCTTTTCTTTAATAGAGAACTTGTTTTTAACTTGAACCACGAATAAAATATTTAATTTAATTATAGTTTTTATTTAAATTTTCATATATACGATGATACAAGTATTATATATAGGTATATGCTACGTGCAATAAATTATTTTATAGAACCAGCGACTTCATTTTTTCCCGTCTATAAATCAAGCAAACTTTTGTCAATACACTAATATAAAAAAGATCCGGAATCAATGTATATGTATTATATTTCGAGCTGTATATTATTCAAATTCCAATTTGGTAAAAAAGCGGATCAATATATTAAATGCATTTGGCATAAAGAATTTTGAAGTATCTGTTTTTAATATCGGCATTAAAGCAATTCTAATAAAGAAACGAAGTTGTATCCGTTAACTGGAGGAATTGGAATCAGCACAGAGAAATGAGATTTAATTCCGTTTCACGGACGCTGATCCTTTTTTCGAGCGTTTTCGCAAGGACGCTCTCATTTATCGGCAATGCGGAGGCAAATGCAATAATAGCGCTCGGTAAGAGAATTATCAACGCGATTTCAAATTCTTTTCTACAAAAGTTTCACTTTGCTGTGTTTAATAAAAATTTAAATAATAGGACAATAATTATCATTATATTAAAAACTATAAAAAAAAAGATTTGAAAACAAATCAAATTTCGAACATTTTAGATCGATGTCAAGTATATAATAAATTTAATTAATTCTGCATTTACTATGTCATACATATATAAGATTATGCTACATATATCACGTTGTGTAAACAACATTATATTGTATTAGCTAATCCGGTAAATCAAACAAAAAGGTCAAAAAATCTCTACCGCGTGTAGCGATGCTTCACAATAATTAATCATTGCCGAATTAATTCGATATGGTATGTTGTTTGTCATCGATTTATTCGATGGAGTGATACATTAAACAGAGACATGTCGTCGGAGTAAACAGCCGTCTCTCCATCGTTTACTCGATAAATTTGCCGCTATATTGCGACTGACAAGAGAGTGAGAATGTTTATTTCTGACTAACGGAACAGTGAAATGTTCTACGAACAACGCGTCACAGTAAAAATTACCATTTCACAATTCTTGACCGTTTAGTTACACAATCATTTGCGCGAATTAAAATGATTTACTTCAAATTCGACGCATCGACGCATCGAGCGTATTTAAAATTATATTGCAGGAAACATCGATCGATGTAAAAATATATTAAATAATTAAATTCTTTTGCAAACAACATTGTTATCATATACGCACATTAAATATTTCAAATAAATATTCATCAATTTCAAAAAGTAAATAACTCTTTTAATTAAAAATATAAAAATCTTTTATCGCGTTATGAGCCTGAGGTAATTTTATGTGATTAACTTATTTTTTCCATATAATTAAATCAACATCTTTTTTTGTTCTCTCCACTGCTCGAAATTTGTAATAAAAAATAATAAAATTTTTATTTCTTTTGTATATGTGTATTAAAAATAAATGTCATTTTATATAATACAAAACAAGAACAAATGCCTCAAATTATCAACAGTTATTGTCAGGCAATTGCAATCATGTATTGACGTACATTTTCAGAGAGTATCAAAAATAATAACTAATTAACGAGAAAATAATAGGTTATTAAAAGCGCGATTAGCAAAGCGCAGATTGTTTTTTTTTTTTTTATTGATGAGAATTTTTCAATTTTTAGATTGGATCAGTGTCAACAAATGAACCAAATTAATGTATAAGTATACTAAACGATTAAAATTGAATAAAATTAGCATTCTAAACTTATATATTTGTAGCATGCTATATTTAGCATTAAACACAATAACATTGGAATAATAATAAATAATAAATGTATCGTATTTTGATGAAAGAATTTTCACAATATACATAGTTATTCGCGAGCTCTCTTTCTCCCCATCTTTGGCGATTTGTTGTATTTGTACGTCGTTAGCACACTCTGTGCGCGACTCAATTTTTACGTTCCGTCCGAAACGATTGAGATAAAATACGGCGAAACATCGGCGAAATCGCGCTTGCCGGCAATATCAGGAGCATTATTCGCTGTTAGATTAATATCCCGTCGGTGGCATCGTGCCGCCGTCGTTTCGCCGTCGGTGCCTTGTTCTGGTAGTCTGCCAAAAGCGCGTAGTATTGTACATCCCGGAATCGGAAACACCCACCCGTATAAACGTCGAAACGCACGTCCGAGTGCTGCAAGCGCTCCGAGCAGGCCCCGAGATCGGGAACTCTCTCCCGGATTGAGCGAGCCGCGCCCGTTGCGAAACTTGCTCCGAATAAATTAATTAGCCCGGATGGTAAAGGCAGGAACGCGACAGCGGAAGAGATAGAGGCGCGCTGGACGTTTTGCGTGGTTGAGGGACGATTAAGTCGTAGAGCCGACCCTCGTGGAGGGTCGCGCATATCCCTGGGATTCCCGTGGTTTGGCACTCGCAAATAAGAGACCTTGGTAAATCTGGCCGGACGGCCGAGCCATGTCACACTGGACTGTTTAATATCAGATCCTGTGCGCGAAATTATGTACAAACATGTTCCATACGACTCTTCATTTTTTACGTCAACTTGTCATTGTATATATTCAGGAATAATATATTTATAAAATAATATATGCGATATAAATTTTATGTTACGCGTTTGCTATATCGTTACTGTAATTTATAAAAAAAGCAATAAATAATGTACGATATAAATTTTATATTACGCGTTTGTTATCGTTACTGTAATTGATGAAAGTAAAATACAGAGTTAGAGAATAAATGTTGAGTAACGAGATTGCAGGTTTTTCTGTTGAGATAATTTTCATCGACTTTTTATCTTAAAGTCGTTTAAGATAAAGCTCATTTAAAATTTAACTAAAAGAATTAGATTTACGCTGAATGATTTGAATTATATTAACGTAATGCCAGATAAAATTCCTTTAATGCGGATCGAATGACGTGTCGTGTCGCGAATGTCAAATGTCAATCTTTTGACAATTCTTTTTTCACCTGAAAAGGTGCAGTATTAAAAGGTCGTCGAAAATGATTACGTCTCGTCAACGCGCTTTGCCACAGGGTTTCATATCCTGAATCCCAAGCTGGGCGATGTGAAATGAGCTTTCCGAAAGCCCAGGATAATCCCAGCTAAAAGACTACAAAGTTCTCGAGACGTAGCACTCTTAACGTTTATCGTAAGATCATGAACTGCTCATCGTTCTAAAAAGACTATCATTTGCAGTCTAAAAGTAATCGTGCCTTCTCCACGATATCTCTTTATAACTTATTTCAAGAATATGGTTCTTTGCATAAAAGTCTCATCTTCATATCAAATACACATTAAAATGATTTAAGTAAAGAATCTATATTAATTGAATTGTTAAATTATTTTTTTTTAAATCGAGGAGACAGTTTTTAACAAGCAGAGCAAACAGTAATTAATAGCGTAGCGAAGTTAAAGTAAAATTAAAGGTAGCATTTAATGATACTACAATGTGTAAAGTTCTTAAAGGAAGAATGGAGAATAAAATTACACGAAAAGACAAGGGCGGCCTATGAAATTGATTTTGTTCTCTCACAATTAGAAGAAACAAATTGCCACTGCAAGATTACGAGTTCTGAGAAGCCTTGTTCACCGAGCCAGTTAAACTAAAGGGGGCTATAAAACTTCTCTCTCGAATAAATTAATTAACCTAGAAGATCAGGAGAGAAAGAGACAGAGAGATAGATAGAGCAACTAAAGTGGAAACTCAGAGGGTAATTAGGTAAGGCGACGTATCGTTCTTACTATACTGCGATATTAGAGTACATCCTCGTGGTACAAGACGTAGACATACGTGAATGGTTTTATTTAACTAACGAGAAATATTACCAGAGAGATTACGTAAGGTGAAGTTAGATGGGAACGCGTTATTTGGGAACATATTACAAATATTCTGGCTTCTCTCGTGTGTAACTATCTATTTAAACTCTTCCATTTATATTTCTTACGGCGCAATAATTTTAACACTTAACACAGACTCTTACCTAAAATTTAACCCCTTGCAGCTTATGTTAATATCATTCTCAGCGCTTCTTAACTCTTAATTTGAGATGTCAGAAATGTCATAAGTCACCTACATAACTTCGTCTAAATTCATCCTCGTCTCATTTTACAAGCTCGCGCTATCTCGCGCTTGCGATTTAACTTTCGCAATTCATAGTTTATGAGAAGGAGAATCTGTAAAACGAATGGTAGAAATCCAACGAGGAGGATAAGAGAAGAGAGGCGAGTGATACAATACGGAAGGATGCGACCTCGTGCGGACCTGCCGGAAATGGGTCAAATCCGGCTAGCGTGGATAGCGTTTTGTCAAATTTTAAAGTGAACTATATTGAATCAGATCTTGACAAAGTTAAAACTCACGTGACATTTTATCTCGTCTTCGTCCCATCGGAAGCGACAGTTCACCTTTCCATTACACCGCAGTTCCGCTGCGATGCATGTTGCGTCCTCGCAATCGTACTCGTCGGGATTGCAGGCTGCAAAATAGGGAAAGAAAAACGACATGTTACGAATATCAAAATGCAATTCTATTAAATAGGTTGAAGAAATATTTCAGCTCCATTATATGCGGACCACAACTGTCGAGAATGCCCCGTTATATGCATTTTCCGTTAGCCGCATATTATGCAATCGATTGATTTCATTCGCGAGCATTCAATTAGATTTTAATTAACATTTAAAATTAATTTCTATTTTCTCTCTATAATACCAATAATAGTCGAGTCGAGTTTCCGCCACACGCATTTAATACACATCAGGTATTTGAAATGTATGTAATAAATTTTCCAGCAAATTTATGGCGAGTTTAATTGCCTTCCAGCGGAAACGTGTTTCCATAGAAATCATCGCGATAAGTCGACTCTTAATTTGCGTGGGGAAAATCGTAACCTAAGGCCTTATTCTTCGACGGTGGTCCGGATAAGCGAATTGCTGAACACCTATAGTGTCGCTGGCAAGATATTAGTTCCGCGTTGGCGGCAGGTGCGGAAAGCCGGAAATTCTTCTCATACTGTACTAGAACCCATGTAAATTCCGCACACGTAACTGCGATTCTGTGGGTCGCCTCATTTAACATTCAGACGAGTGCGCGACCATTAATTTGAAATTTGATTCCTTTACCCAACGATAATTCTCAAGACTTCGTTAAGCCTAAGATGATCATTATAAACCATATATACATATATAATTATAGGCTAAAACGCGAAAATGTAACGAGTAATGTCTTTATCTTGCAGTAATTTAATTTTGCTTATCCTTTCAGGTAATCATCGAACATCACACAAAGCTTTAAAAGCGATAACTTATTTTAAAAAAGCGTATAAGATTAAAGAGTTAAAAATTCTTATTAAAATACACATAAAAGTTCTTAATTCGTATCTTATCTAATTGCATTGTATTTCAAAATTGTATCTGCGTTGTTTTAAACTGAATTGTCTATTGCCAATTATTATTGAAAAAATAAAAAAATATATAGGAAAATAGAGTTATGTTAAAAAATATTGTTAAGTAATTTTGTAATTTGTAGAAGTTAACAATATAATTTGCTAACTCAAAATAAAAGTTACGGGTGACGATTTTATCGTCAGCTACGTAATTCGCGAGGTCGTAAAATAAAAAAAACATACAATAAGTGGCGACATACATACGAGAGAAAAATTTTGTGGAATTGTACCAGATACTTCTGGCGTACCATATAGGCAATTTCCACGTTGTTAGCGCAGTAACAACGATAGTCGGGTTGTACAGTTTAAACTGCCAAAAGCAAACTGACGTTACACTGGCATTGTTAAAAATTGTTAAAAATATTGATCGTACACAGAGAATGCTTCAAAACTGTCAACTTTAATTTCTCTCTGCCTCTCTCTTTCTCTACATAATATGAAAAAATTTCAAGTTTTTCTGATACAATATATTATTAAATTCCCAAATTATTAATTTTAGTCACTAGTTATTAAAATAGGAGAGTAGAAATAATCAACCAAACTAGCGTAAACGAAACATTACGCTAGTTTGGTTGATTATTTCTACTCTCCAATATATTATTCTTATTTAAAAGAATTCCCAATAAAATTTGCATTTTTAAGATTTTGCTATATGAAAATGTTACTTTATTATTTTATTATAGCTGTCGTATTATTTTTATAAAGAGTTGTTTTATATGATTTAATTAGAATAACGTATATATTATGTTTTATAAATATATCTAATAATTGCTGTTGAAAGTTAATCAAATTATTAATTTTATAATTATTCATGTATATAAATAATTTTCTACGAGGTCTCAAGTAATTTATTATTAATGAGAAAATATTAACTTTTAATAACACAATAATTAGGCATAATATAAATTCATATTTTATAAAATTATTTCACTCCAACAATATTGGTAAGTTATTTACTCGATATTATATAGATTTAAATTTTAAATTTTGTAACAAAGAAAGTTAATTTAAACTTTTATTATACGGTATTTTATTATACTATTAAATTAAAATAATGCATGTAAAAAATGTAAAAGAAATAAAATAAAATAAAAATATAAAAAATTATTATATATATTATGTATAAAAAGGGGCTTACAATTACTACAAAAATGTACAATAAATATTAAATTCACGGTCAATTAATTATTAACTGCATTGAGTTATATTTTACATTTCTATGCTTTCAGCTTTTATATGCTTCAATATTTAATAATAAATTTTTAATAGTATTTATTTTAATTTGATATGTATTTTCTGACGTTTAATGATAAATAAAATTTAATGACAAATTCACAATTCGATACATCTTAAAGCTCATTATTTCAGAAACGCATTTAGCCGGAAATACATGCATCTATTATTGTGTGTTTGACAAAACTCACGTTTTTCACTACTCTCCTTGTCTCGAAAGGCAGTCATCACCGCTTCGAAAGAGCTGTTTATAGCTTTCGGCTCCACGTAAAACCTTAAATGAGCGATGGTGGCCGGAATGATGACGGTGTCGGCGATGCTTCCACAGAAATGCTTCTGCATCGAGGCCATATCTGTGTATTCTTTAAATATGTCGACAAAGTTGGCATCACACTCGTTCGGTCGCAGTAGCTTAAAGTCTGGGAACGTCAGCTGGATCTGAAAATTCCACGTGTTTTCACTTTTTCAAGTGCACGTGCACACGCGCACTTAACATACACAATATATATATATATATACATTATATACGCTCATATGCATACAAACATGCGCATGCATAAACCATTGGATTTTGCTGCTCTTTGACCGAGGTCGAAGAAAAGACTAACGATTCAAAGAATTCCATGACGCAATTAAACAACGTACTCGTTATCATTGCAGAGTTCATCATTTTAAGCAAAAATAATTATTTTATTTCATAAATCTCGGTAATTATTTTTTGCATCAGAAATGATATATTATCGTAGGACAAAACAGTCGCGAATTTCAAAGCAGTATCAAAGTTGTTTTCAAAGCGAGTCGATAACCGCAAAAATGTGAAGTATCACGAAGAATTCTTAGGTATGTGTAATGTAGCGAGCTCGAGTCTCAAGTTTACAAAACTTCTCGACAATGTAGCTCGTAAAAAGTACGCGTGAGAATGTAGCTTCTTCACCACCTCGGATTTTGTCATGTTAGAAAAAAAGAAACTTTATACATAGTTCTGTAAGACGCTCTCGAGAAAAGTATTGGTTTCATTAATAAAAAAAATTTTAATAACGAAGTTTCGGAAACTAAAAGATTCTTCTGCGTTGGAGCAGATGCCGTTATCAGATGTAAATTTTGTAAAGAATATATCGTAAAGAGACAAAATATATTTCAACGTATGAAAACTGTTCTATGCGTTACGGCGACAAAGAGCGATTGTAAATCATTCGCGTTACTTTGAGCGAAACGTCATTTGAAATCACGTCGCTGCAGGCCAATAACAAACATTCGCATCAATTGAATACCGTAGCAAAGCGAAGTTGAATCAAATAAAGATCCTAACGTATTATACGATGGCAAAAAAAATATTGAGAGAAGCGTTATATATTGCACATTTTAATTTGTCGATATTAAACGCTTGACATCCGTGTAATAACATTTCTTCTTCAATTGAGAAATTAATAAAAATATATATTAACGAGACACGCACATACGCATGTAAATCATTCCTTACCTTCCATCCTTCTTTCACTTGAATAGTCCACATGCAATCCAATGCGATGCCCTCTTTCTCGGCCAGGATCTTCCTGTCTTTGACGTCGTCGCTATGAATTATCGCCTGCGCACCCGTCACGTTAACTATGCACGGTTCTGGTTCCGGTGGCACGCCCGCTGTGAATCACACCTATTACAGTTCTACACTTTCCCTAGGTTCACATGTACACGTTCGTATTGATAATTAAGATATATTCATGCCACTATATTATTATATCAACATACTACAGATTATTCGATATTAAAATGTAATAAACTATGTAGCACAATTAAAAAAGATATTGAGCTTTGGAAGACGATAATATGTAATAAAAATTACGTTTCTTAATATTTCGTAATATATTGTTTTATAATATTTTTTACCGCGCATTATAAAAACTATATTATATTTTTGTTTCTTATTTTTATTTATTAATTTTATAGCAATTATTTAAGACGTTTAGATGATTTTTGTCATAAATAATGAATGAAAATTATTTTACCGCACATACGCTGTGTTATCGATCTGATAGCTATTATAATATTTTTCGCGCGCATGCTCGACAAGTAGTAATAGATAGTTATGGTACGGCAGCCTTAGTCTCCTGATCACGATTGAACATATAATCAAAAATATCTTTACATACAAAAATCATTACAACGTGATATTAAATGCATTAATAAACCAAAAATTCATTCACAGATTCTAGCGAAAGCGTAATCATTTTTTATTGCAAAATGTTATTAAAACAAGTAATATTTAAATGTAACAATAAATAATTTATAATGGAAATTAATTAAATAAATTGTAGAATAAATTAGGCAGTTTAAAATTAACGACGATATTAAAAGTCTGAAAATAATTGGACATTAAAAATCATAAAACTATAAAGTATTGTTAACAAGTCTGTTCTATTCTTAATTTATTTATCGCAGTTGCGATATTATATCGCGTTATTTTTTCACTTAGCAATTTTCTATCATTCAAAAATACATAAAAAATAAAACATAGTATTGATTTTCGATACATGTTTCATCAATTTTTCATAATTAAAAATTTTGTGTAAATATTTATTAATAAAAGCACGATAATGATAATATTAAAAGAAGAGCATTCCCAATTCAAAATGTTTCAATATTGAGATCATCAATATTGTGATGCATCAATATTGAAATGTTATGACGAATGAATTAATCAACTGCGATAAAAATTTCAGTATTTGGTCTAACTAGCCGCGCCCGTTTTTACTATCTGAGCAGTATATCGATCTAAGACTCTTCCGGTTAAAACCAGACCTCTCGCATTTGTATTCCGTGTATTCATAAACCTTCCTCTTCGCTCTCCTGCTTGACTATGAATTAATTTTGGTCTCGGTCGCGATTGCACAGCTCTTACTGTCGCGAGCCATCTATTTCCGAAGTGTCTCGTAATTTTCTGAACAAGAAGACAGACGACGAAGACTCGAATACTCACAATCAGTACATCCCCGAATCATTTCATTGTCATCACGTTCATTACTTTAACTCCAATTATTTGTCTCGCTATAACACGACCGCGATGAGAAACTGCATTCACTCAGTTTAACTCGATTTTAATTATAAACAATTATAAAAACAAATATGTATTAATGTTAAAAAAATTGACGCGTTTCTATTTTATACTTTTTCCTTTCCTACATTACAAGCATATTATTCTTAGTTTTTTTATTACGTGTAAATCATTATTTTTCTACGTTTCTAGACTTTTAATTGCATAAATAGCGTAATCTGCACAATGCGGGAAAGGAAGTATCAGTTATGTTTTCATTTGGCATTAATTATGGTGTAATTACGAGTTAGATATTAATTTCACATAAAAAAGCAAATTATTTTTAATCGCGAAAACAATTTAAAACGCTCACTAAAATATTTTCTAGAATTTAAACGTTGTTGTTTAAACAACGCAATATCCCAGACAACATGTCTAAAATTGGCGCATAAGACATCTTTAAGATGTCATTAAGACGTCTTTTGAACATCATGTCATAAGATTTCTTAAAGATATCTTAAAGACTACTTAAAGATGTCTTATGCGTCACTTTTAAACATGGTGTTATCTGGGATGTTATTTCTATTTACTTGTGGCTATTAAGATTTAGAAATTATAAATTTCCGCTTGAGATTAAACTCTAATAATTCAGATAATCGAAAAGGTTTTCACGAGGTATACATACATATAAAAACTTTGTTGATTCTGAAACTTACGATGGGTTGGTCTCGGTATTATGTTCCACACTGCCTTGAAGCCTTTGCCCTCAATGTTCTCATCGCTGTGGAATCGTAACCAGAGGAATCGTGTCTTCGACGTGATCTCGGGAGGAAAATTCGTTCCGCAGAATTTGCCGAGGGAATTAGAGTAACCGTACTGACCATCAAGTACTTCAAGGTAATCAAAACGACAATCCGGACTGTCTTCCAGGTTGAATTCGTCCCGGAAGTCAAGCTTCAGCAACATACCTTTGTCGGCTGAAACGAGAGAAGCCAAAAACAGTGAGTCATTAGCGAATACATGTATGTATATTAAATAGACAAGATTTTTATACAGATAAAGTGCGATATAAATATAATCCGTGACTAAAATATAGTAATATTATAAAATGATGGATTAGTAAATCGATAAAAAAAACCATGAAAAATAATTTATTTTTAATGAGCTAATATATAAAATTAATAAATGCTTCATCAGGATATATAGTTTTTTTAAGATATTTATTTAAAACATGCGCGGAGATCAAATGTAGGACGAGCAAGCAGATTGATTTCATTGACTGATTTGAAATAACGATGTAATTGTTAATGCATATTTATTTAAATAACTACGATCGGTCAACCAATAATTGCGATTAATGTATAGATACGGCGAGTATTTTGCACTCAATGAGTCAATAATTATGCATTTAATCTGATATTGTAATCCGATCTGTGCGGGACCAGACATTGTGCTCGGATATTATGTCCTCATCTCACGCTATGCAATTTATTTCATTTCACGAGCAATGAAATTAATACAAAAACATGTTTTAATTACAATACGAAATTCTTATTCCAGCTTTTCTCCGAATTATGCACGAAGCAATAAAATTCGTCGAGTGTATATTTCTCCTTCTGTTCCTGCAAACTTTGCAACGCAAACGTCTTTTAAAGTCGGACGAGTTACTCGACAAATATTCCAATGTCGTTAGCCTCAGAAATCAGACTGGCTCATAGCCAAATTGTTCGTCAGGAGCTACGACACGAAGCTGTGTTGTTTTCTCGTTGGTTACCGCGTTAGAACCATAGCAGCTCGGTGTGGTAGCGCTTACAAAGCATTTTTCCGTGTAATATAATACCAGCGTCAGGAGAAACGCTTGAAACATAGTTTTCGAAATACTGTATAGCGAGGTGAAGGAGATGAACGGGAGAAGATAGGAGTGGCGAATAAATTCCTATTAAACCCAACCCAGACACCAATCATTTCACCGTGATCGCTTTTTTTTTCTTTCTTCGAATTATTCTTTCTATTTGATTATTTTATATTGCACATCCATCTTCTCATTATTCATCACGAGCGGAGAATAATCAAAAGTAGGTTGTCTGTTATCGCCGACGTGCGCCACAACTAGAAGATATAGTTCTCAAAAAGTTGGGGGGTGAAACGTGTCGCCGACACGTTCCAGTAAATTTCGCGGCACGATTCGGTAATAAGATCGTAGAGATGCAAACGCGACTTCACTTTCTCCACACGTACGAAACTTATCCGAGAATTATTCAGACGAGACCGATCGTTAGGATACACTCTATCTTCCGGTTCTGGTTAGATATCTCGAGTCTCCGCGCATATCCATGTATTTGTAGGTCCGATCGCATCTATGTGCCGGAGTAGATGTGTGCGTGTGTGTGTGTGTGTATGTGTGCGTGAATGCGTGTACGCGTGCGTACACAACCGTTTATGGACTACCAGTCTACTTGACTATGCGCATTTAGACGTCACCCTGGGCAACCACAGGATTATCCTATTATTCCCTTAACACACCCTTACGTGTCTTCATACTGAAGATCGCTATTGGCGGATGTATGATTTCATTGTGATGCAGCGATAAAAAGTGTTCTACTTGATATCGTTCTGCTAATATTTTTTATTATCGACATGTCTTTAATAAAATAATTGCAATCGAATATTTGCGTCCGGCTTTTGTTCGATTTTTTTTTACGATTTAATCGCGGTACGCAGATAATGTATTAATACACAGTGAAGGAACCATTGACTCTTTATCATATAGCAATTGTCGATATATTTATCCTTGGGCACGAATATAGTTTCCAATGCTTTTTCAAAAATAGCCCGTCTATTCTAGATGCCAGGATCGCGCCAAGAATGGCGTATGCGATTATGGAGGCTTATTGCCTAATGGCATTGAGTAAAATTATAAGTATTTGACGATTCAGAAATGCCACATCCATCAAAAGTTTTCAGAAGTGATTTCAATTGATGCGTTATTTAAAAACAATTTAATTTACTTCTGAAAATTGATGATGTACGCGAATACTGAGTTATTTTTATGTTAAGCATTCTCTTTTGTGAATAAATTTCCGTTGAAATAATTTATGATCAACAAAATTCTCAGAAGAAAGATTGCAAATGCCAAATTCCGAAAGTCATTAATAATAAAATAAATATAGTTTGCCATGCATATTTGATTAGTTGTTGAAAGTGCTAATATTTCCTAGAGATCGTTCTCTTAAGAAAAATACGTCATAGTTCTATAATTCTATACAATAGAAAAATAATAAAAACTAAAAATCAATGTATTATATTTCAATAAAGCGTTATTATGAATTTTCGCAAAACTACTCAAAAACGTTTTATATTTTTTGAGAAGTCTTTTTATATCAAATAATTTGATTTGTCAAAATATCGCGAGACTTCTCGCTTTCATTGTGCTTTGAAAGCATATAATCGTCGTATTGAAGCTTTTTTATGAATGAAAATTTGGCTAGCTCCCACCGTGAAGAAGCCCACGCGTCATATGATTACTCGCCAAGGACGCACGTGCGATCACGTACATATACATATATTAACTCCACTTTGTCGTTCAAAACTCGACTCTGAAGAATAAAAAAATTACGACGTCGAGGCCATGCCGAAAATATAGCCTCGTTTACGGGCGCCACAAAAATTGTCGCATATCTTGGCAACCGGATATTCTCGCTTACGCGCATTGCATTCGAATGACGACAGATTTCTCCTGGACTTCCTTTGGCAGAGTTGCGCACTCTAAAGCAACAAGAACCGGGAGAAAGAAGAGAGAAATACACAGCGAGCATCGGCGCTCTCGGAGCAAAAAAACATGATAAAGTTTCTTCTGAGATCTTGCCTGCTGTTGCATAGAGAAATATTCAATCGCGAGTTTTTTCCTTTTCTTAAAGAAGATGTAAAATTGTGCTTTCATGTAATACGTAATAGCGTATTGCGCGCGACAACTGAGAAATGCGTAGCATATATTTGCCTTTTTATATTGAAAAATGAGACATACATAGGTATATCGATATCTTAATAAAAAAAGTAATATTGAATTTTATTTATTTAATCTTGATAAGCACACACTGTTTTTTTCAACTTTTCCATAGTGTTCTAGATTTTCTTTTTAAATTGAATGCTATTTTGTCTGTATTAAAACACTCTTGTCAACATAAACTTTTAAATTTATCTCTGTCACATTAATTTTTCTGTATATCATTCTAATAAATTATGAAAAGAATTAAGGTCAGAACTTCCCATGAATAATAGAATAGTGATCATTCGATGATTGATTTCTCGTAATTTCACAGTTGCATGATCGAGCCGAGACATCGTTACGTTGACACAAGTTCATAATCTGAATTTTCTTTTGCTCAATAATATCTGATTCTAGTTTGTTTGTTGGGGCGTCACGTCGCAGCGCAAAGTCTTGTATTGTGAAATCATCGTGAGTGTCTTCCTAATGTTTCCGCGAACCCAGAATAATTTCTGTCATTTAGAGGAAATCCTCTGATCCGCCGAAATCCTGACTATAGAGTTCCATACGCACACATTTCTGCTTCACGCTGCCGCGGTTAGATGCTACACAGCATGTTTGCGCTGAGTGTTTCATAGCACATATGCACGCGTGTGTGTCCATGTGTGCGTACATACGATCTCACACTCGAGTTCATACCCGTCCCAACCTCCGGATTATGCCACTTTCCCGTGACTATCGTTATACAGTAGCTCTTCCGGTAAAGAGCGGCGTCGTCTCTCCTTCCGACGAGACTATCGAATTTTCCGTGGCGCCTCAATGAACACCCTGTGGAATGCCAAAGGACGTACTTTACATTGCGCGCCGCAATTAATATTGCGAAAATTGGATTGAATGCGACCTGGGAAAATATCGTAAAACGATCGCATTAGTTTCACGTATACGTCGTTAAAAAGTACAGGATTGTAGCAAGTATTTTTTTTCTCCAGTTCGCATAATTGGATGACACAATGGTATGGTTTTACGTAAATCATACACGAATATGCGCAGCATAACAATGATATATATTGAGTGCAAAGAAAATATAAATACGAATAAAAATACGAACATATACATAAAGCGCAAAGAGAGAACAAATAATATAATTAAAAGAAACTAAAATTTAAATGTCTTAACCAATGTCAATCTAGGATACTTCGGGATATTACAAAATTTTGGTAAAAATTTAATTGGCTGTTGAAATTAGATAAACGAATTTTTAAAAAAATGTTACCATAAAAATAAAATAATTTTACTTGCAAAGAAAATTTAATTAAAAAGCCTTGTAGTGGCAAATACCGTCGAATTGCATAGCTGCTCTCTTTCTTCTTCTCTATCTGTCTCTCTCTCTTTGTGAGGTGCACACAATAAAGCACAAATAAAATAGTTTTACGTCTAAAATAAAATATAGAAAAAAAGATAGAGAAAGCCGCTCGCTTCGAGCAATCCTTTTTTTTCTGCCGATTGCCGAGGTACGTGGTCCTCGTAGTAACGATCGACGCCTCCCTTTGGGAGGCTATCGAATTTTCCATAGAGTTCCGCCGAATAAGGGTGAGTCTCGCATGGTTGCCGGAAGTTGCACGAGCTTAACTGTTCTGTTCTAGAAACTCCTGGAAAATGGTACATTCTCGTACCACATTTCCTCGTCTGGACGGGATGTTTATTGCTAGCATGCTCCTGCGTTAGGTAATGCACGCGGATTTTTCGTCAGGATTTAAAGGAGGTGAGCAACCTAAAAAGGCGAGAAAAAAAAAAGAAACGCTCGACGGTGATATATTCGTGTTTTATGAAACGGAAATAAAGTGCTGCAGGTTAGCTTGACACGATTTTTGTCAACGTTATATTAAACCGCAGAAGAAGATTATTGTGATCAAACAATAACTACAGATAATTCATTAATAATCAACGCATCTAAATATCGTTAATTTAGCATGCATCCAGTATTTTCGCATA